ATCAAATTAATTTTGCAGCAGAAATAGTAAAATTAGTTTAGTAATGTCAAATAATAGAGAAAAGAGGTGTGTATTCCTCACTGCTCTGTTTTGAAGTGTCAGGTGTTAACTGCAGGATCAGAATATTTTCACTGAAACCTTCTTTACTAGCCCAGCATGCCTCACTCCATAATACAAACATGTTTCATTAGACTCTCACATTCTCGCTGAACTCTGATTTGCAAAATGTGCGATGTAGAGAAGCAAGGAGACAGTTTGGTCTTCCTTACATTTGCGTCACCTGACAAAAGTGCTGGTAAGTGAATACATTTAATTGGGCTGATCTCTGAACTAGCCCATACACACAGGACTGATATGTGAGGTGAGCGGGTTGATAGAGAGCCATGTAAGGCCACAGCTATGAACCGCTCTGCCATGACGTTCACACCCCCAGCCTTGACCGTATCTTTTTATGCAGCTAATATGCTCTTATCTTGACTACACTTTCACTGCTCTCCCTTGTCGATGATGTCACCTATTACTGTGCCTGCTGACCTGCACATTGATCTAAGCAGTGGTAAAAATGACGTCAAGGACACGGAAAAAACTATTATCTCACACTGTCGCTTTACAGATCTTTGGCCAAGTGCTCGTATCCATGTTCAGCTGCATTGATCTGAATTAAGTCAACACTTTGATTGATTGATTTCTCTGTTTTTAAATCACCTTTAGAGAGGAAAACAGAGCAGGCAGCTGCCAGCCCAGGTGAGTGTGTGTGTGCTTGCTTGCTTGCATATGTTACATGGAACAAATAGAAATGTGAAATTATGTTTGGAGGATTTAAAGTGAGTAAAACAAGGAAATAAATCCAATTTGAATGACTTTTTTTTTAAAATCAGGATTCTTTAAATGTAGGTTCACAGGGTTTAATGTCTGGTCTTTGGTATTAAGATGTGGCTGTTATGTGTGTGACGTTACTGTAGTTTATGATCCGATGGAAAAAACACAATGGACATTGTAATACTGACGTATTCACACAGGGACAGGGGTCAGCTGTGAAATAGCCTGGAACTTTTGATCCTTGGATTATTTATTAATGTTATTGACATATGGAAATGTGCCCGCCCTGCAGTGGTGTGCTACGCAGCCGACCGCAATGAACTGCGCAGCCGCGTGATCCAGTGGCTGCAGACTGAGGTTGTCCCCGATGGCTGGTTTGTCAAAGGATCCAACTTCTCCAACATCCTGCAGAGATACTTCAAGGTGGGTGTCTTTTCTCTGCTGGGGTGCAGAGACGTAAAATGGAATAGTAATTATTTTGGTACCGAAAACAACACTTCTAACTCACAACTCTCTGCACCTTTTGTGTGCATGAATAAGATATATGAACGACAGCGCCCTCTGCAGCCACAGGGACTAATTCTGTTTGGCTTGAGAAGAACCTGACTGCAGACAAGATGGTGGAACTCTGCACTTCAGTCGTTTTCTCCCCCGTGAAGTGGCTCAAATACTTTTATATTTTAATCTACAAACTTTATTGATCATAAATGTATTTTAAAAGTCAACTGACACTTAAAGGGTGCATACAACACATTAAGTTGACAACTTTGCATTTGGTACCCTTTTTTTAATGGGCCAATATAAAATTGATTCAACTTCTTCATTATTAATTATTTTCTGTACCATTGAAATCAAATTTAGTTACAAACAGTTTCATAAAAGACCCTCTCTTTGCTAGGATGGCATTATTTCCTGTCACGTGCAGAGATGTATGTTGCACATGCACCAACGCCGGTCTATTGTTCAAGTGTCACCATTCTCTCTATTCCAAATAAGTGAACAATCAAATTAATGTTGACGCTGCTATTTTAAGGTAAAAGTGTTGCTTTAAAACCACAGATATACTGTATATCTTCTTCTAGTCATTGAAACTTAAACTAAAACAATGGAAAGGTTGAAATATACAAATACAAAAAATAAAAAGTAAAGCCGTTACTTGAGGTGCTCATGCCAAAATTTACGTGATGATGTAGTGGTGACTGCAAATTTGCTGCTCATGACATTTCAGCCTCATTGTTCATAGTCTACATAGACTCTAACTGTGTCTCTCTTGTGTCTGTCCATGTCTCTGCAGTCCTATGACAACGGTGATTCTCAGCTGGACTCCTCAGAGCTCCTCAAGTTCATCCAGCACAACGAGTCTGTTGTGGAGATGCAGTCCTACGCTGACCAGGAGAGCAACAAGCTGCTCAGGTCGGGTTCGCTTGCTTACATGAGTGTGTTAGAAGGGTGCAGAGGGGAAAAACTACTGTTTGCATTCTTGTTTGTTTTATCAGTTCTACAAACCATGTGAACATTTCTTCTGTGGTCATGTTTGTACAGACAGACTGAGGTCTTTTATCCTGAGCTGCTATTTGGAGGTTACACAGTGTGTCAGTGAATCCTTTCTAGGCCAGTGAAAACATCAGTGAAGGCCTCCCGTGGGAGCCAACACTGGCACAAACACCTGTGCCCAAAGAATAAAACATTCTAAACTAATGAGTATTTTCAGAGAATGCTCATTTCTTCTGGATCTTGTTCTCAGTGTATGGAGCAGCTGATATTTATTCTGTGTGTGTGTGTGTGTGATTCACAGGAGCCTGTGTGTTGACGCCCTCATCGAGCTCTCTGATGAGAACGCAGACTGGAAGCTGAGCTTTGACGAATTCCTCAACTGTCTGAAACCTGGCTTCAATCCACCAGAGAAGAGTGAGCTCAGAGTGACTTTGACTTGTAGTTAGATTTATTATATGGATGCAACCTAACCCTTAAAATAACCTTACCCTAAACATTACCTAACTTTAACCACCCATAAATCAGCTTGTTTTACAATTTGGGGCACGTTTTTGTCTTCAATGGGTCAAGCGGTCCTCAGTTTGAAATATGTGTCATGAAGCTCATGACACACACACATACACCAGCTTCTGAATAAAGGATGAAGCATTTTAAAATGCTGAAATCTCTGGGTTGAAATGGTTTAATCAACAATGTTGATATTTTCACTCTGCTACTGTCTCTTATCTGTGGTCTTGAATAGCTCCTCATGTGTGTTTCTGCAGAATGTGCCTTGGAGGATGAGACATATGAGGACGGAGCAGAGACCCAGGTGGAGTGTAACCGCTGTGTTTGTGCATGCGGCAACTGGGTCTGCACCGCGATGACCTGCACTGGTGAGTTGAAGTGGTGAAGATCATTTTTACACTAAGTATTAATTTGATCATTTCAATGAACTCACATGTTAAATTATCCTCTGACTGTTTCATCACCTGTGCAGACAAAATGGCGGCTGTGGATGATTCCACAGATACTGGGGCAGAGATGACTGAGGAGGAGTGGAACCTCCGTGTGGCTGAGCTCAACAAGCACCAGGTCAGTTTTTGCTATAACAAAAATTATGTAATAAATCATATTAATTGCAAATATCCCAGACTGTCTGCAAATGAAAGAGTGAAGCTTCATCATTACCTACTGTTGATAAGATTCCACTTGGTTTTAAAAATCTGTCAGATATTACTGACATGACCCGTGTGTTTGCTTTTAAACTGTTTCTGGATAAATCACATTTGAATCAATCATCACGATATAAATCACATCGTAATTGGTAGGTGTACATTTTTATGTGACCAATCTCAGTGAGGCAGGTTTATGACTTGGCACGAAAAGGGAAACAACAAATCAAAAGCTGTGAAATACACAAATGTTTTCTAAATGAGATCAATACAATTATGAAATGGCCATGAATGTGAAATAGAGGGTGGATGATGGAAAAAGAACCAAATGAACACCAATATTGGACTTTTTATCATGCCCTTGTTATTTACTGTAATCCCTCACAGGAATGTAGTGATTTCCTGAGTAGAACATGCAGGAGGCAGGACACAATGTTTTATTTCCTCTGCACATACTTTTCCTTCACAGCACATTGACATTAGTGTCGATCATGTGTTAGAAAAACGTCATCAACACACCCACTCGACATTTTCCAGACTAATCTGGATGTCTGAAAGTAGCTTAATGCCGGAAATATCTTAAAACAAAAGGTGATAGAACCAATTTCACTTCGTGATGCAGTGGACGACCACACAAGTCAGTCTAGAACCTCTCCAGACTGTCACAACCAGAGTGCTATCAGGAATAGTGGACTCTCTCTGGGCAAACAATGGCTATTGTCTAACAGCTAGAATGGGACAATCAGCACAGCCTCTTCTGATTTCTAGAACCTCCCGAGACAAAGAATACTGGATGTAGATATTCAATTCTATTATAGAACCTCCGTTGATTAAGAATAAAGAATAGAGTTCTAGAACCACAATTGCTTTATGGCCTAGTTCTAAAACCTGTCCATAAATAAACATCTGTAAAACATCTACATGTGTGAGAAGCGTGTGTGTGTGCGTGTGTATGTGTTTGCTCACATGGGGTTATGAGAGCATGCACTGGCTTTGGCTTGGGGCCACGGCTGAGTCAGCATGGTCATTTACTATGTACTCCAGAAGGCCAGAATATAATGACGCTTTATGCAAATGCAGCTCTGTGGGTCCCAGGTGCACTGTGACCAAGTTAATGCTAATTTCTCTCTTAAGGACCTGCTGCTTTTAAAGGATAAAACCTCTGTGATGTGATGATGCTGAAACACAGGAATCTTTCAGTTTAGAATCAATAAAATATCACAGATGGAGATCTACCTACCTACTTACCTACCTTCCTACCTTCCTTCTCACCTACCTTGTGACCTACCTTTCTATCTTGAACCTACATACCTACCTACCCACCTGTATATCAATGTGTACTTCAGAAAAACTGTTAAAAATTGTAGATGCTCATATAAGTCTGTTCTCACATTATTGTTTATTCAATATTTAAATGATTTGATATATCAAATGTTTGTTGTTATTGAAAATACAGGAAACAGTTGAGAAGATGAAGAGCAGCACAAAGGAGGTCTAAACAAGGACGCAGTGAAGGAGAGGATGCACGCCATCGCCCTTCTTCCATACTTGATTTACCTTGTGAAAGGTGTCATTGTTAAACTGACTTTTTTTCTCTGCTATGTTAATTATACATTTTTACATTGTGCAAGTGTTTGTGATGTTGTCTGTTAGATTCAGGGGCTATCAAAGAGTATCATAGGGTTCCCTTTTGTTCAGTACTGTCATGTTCGATTGTATTACTGTGCCCCCCCACTAGCCCAGGGGCTATTTTTTACCACAATCCTTTATATTTTTTAGTTATTCTGAAACAAACTGTCGAGTTGTCACTGTTTCTGGCAAGTGGGAGTCGCTGTTTGAGAAGGTTTACGGGGTTGAGGAACTTGGAGAATCCACCTGTTGAAAATAGGGAGTTGAAGACTGACCTCTGAACACCTGGTGCAGCATTTTTAGGTTTTTTGGTAAGGAGGTTGGTTGTAGGAGCTGGAATAAATATGAGGGTATAGCTACTCGTGATTTTTGATTTTGTTGCCATGTAGAACTGCCACAGTCGGCCACTACTTGACCAATGCACTTCTTTTTCTGTCTCTCTCGTTTCCTTAGGCTTTAGTTTATCACAAGCCTTTGTTTATATCTTAGTGCTAAAGTAATGATTTCACTGCAAAAACAAAATGTTTGCTTCTTTGTAAAGTTATTGACTGGAGTTGGAACTCATCTTGTTCCCGTGTTATGCTTAGGCAAGTCTCTCTGGGGCTCCTCGATCAAACATTTTTAATGTTACGTTTCTGAGACACAAACATGGCAGCCCAATGTTCCGGGTGAAACCTGCACCCAGGTGAGACGTGATCTGAATATAGCACGGTGAAAACTGAAACCAAAGTCTTGATGACATGTTTGAATGATGTACAAAACTCTCCAGGTAAAACTCTGGACCCAGCAACAACACTATACCTGTGCTTTCAAATCCACTCTAACAGCAGGACTAGCCTCACTGTAAACTTTAGTAGCTTAGACGCATCATTTCTTGGTGCATATAAAGTGCTTGTGTGTGTGTGTGTATGCGTGTGATTGTGTGTGTGTTGTTGAAGTGTGATGCTGAGAGTAGTTTGGTTTTGTTGAATGTTTTTATTTGTTCAAATCCTGTATCTGAATTGGGAGGATTGACAATAAAAATCAGTGCCTTAGACCTGCAAACAGAATAGGTCTCTACCTTTGCCTGCACAGAGGCTCTTATGGCCGCACGGCAGAGCAAGTGCGAGTGCGCTTTACTGACGTTTAGCAGTAAACTAGTGCTTTGTGACTTTATCCCTAATGACTGTGTGAAAGTTGCATTACCTGGTTCTAGCTAAACATCTGTATTCCACTTAAAGTGCAGAGACTGTAGGAACATGTATGTATGCCAATAAAGCCCATACACCACAAGACTGCCTCCTATGTGTGTACATCTGCCAAAATGTTTGTCTGATTTAGAACGCCTGAATCTGAACTAGAGAGTTTTACATAAAGCAGGCACGTGCACAGGTTTTCAGGTGGCATCTGACTTATTAAGTGCCCTTTACATTGTATATGTAATAATAGCATCAATTCTCAGTTAAAAACATGTTGTAATGTCTGGCAACTGCTACTACAACTACTTTTTACCTTGCCTTTTAACAGCCACCACAATTATGCACCTGAGTCGAGCTCCCGGCAAAGTAGCATCATCATCATCATCATCAATATGTTTTCCTGACCTGTGCATTTTGATGTCCACAAGAAAAAGGTAGTGTTTAAAAACCTCCACATTGTTTCACTGTTGTGAAATTAAAAGCACAGCAGGGGAGATGCACCCCCTGTGTTAAGGTGGTATATGTGCTGCTACATATGTTTACAATATGTATACTATGTTTTGTTATTAACATCTTTGTGTGTATGGTTACTTAAAGAAGAGCTTGTGTAATAAAAAAGATGAGGAATGCTTGTAACCGTATTCTATAAATAATAATGTGAAAGATGCCGTTTTTTTCCCCTTGAGCACCTCATTTTTGGATTCTAAAATCTTTATGCATTTGCTTGAAACTGCACAGTACACATGATATAATGAAGTAAACCTCACTCCCTCCTCGTGCAATTTGCTTCTTTTGCAGTTGCACACCCGGTCCCATGGATCGGTCAGAACCATGTATACATTCTATGGTCAGAACACAACCCTGTGCCTCCTTCTCATTCTATGCACATCTCAATAAGCACAGCGTTGCATAATGCAATAGAGGAGGGAGGTTGCATAATCACGTATGGAGCTCGGCCTGTTGGCGTGACGGCTCATCGGCCACCGTACTGATGCAACTTATACACGGACTCACACCAACAACAACAACCCGAGCTGCCGGTGTGTGAAGTTACAACATATAGAAATAATAAACCTGGTGTACATTCATTAATGTGAAGTTTTGTTTTATGACAGATTGGAAGATTAGCCAATCAGCGTCCGTGTGGGTGCGGTTTACTAAGGGAATTGTCCAATCGCTAAGCCAGGAAGCATGTGTCCCGCCCCCCTGAGAGCAGGCTGCAGGGCTCAGTGTTGCTCCGCGTCCAGTCTGATCGGCGGAGTCATGCGGAGCCGCCGTACCCTCACGTCAGGACTCGACTAGCCCCAGTTTCTCACCAGAGATGCGGGTAAATGTTGCGGGCGGTCGCAGAGAAGAGTTTCCGTGCTCCTGGCCGAACGTACACAACAACTCCTGGGGCTAACTCGAGGTCTGACGGGGGCGTCGAGCCGACAGCACAACTCCTGCGGGGACTTTGTTCACTTTAACATCCACAGTAAATCACTCAAAATGGAGATTCACGAAGGAGCAGCGGCGGCGGGCGACGGAGTCCTGGATTTTTCTCGCCTGAGCCTCACCACGTTCAGCACCGACGGTGTCAGCGACGAGAGGAAGCGGGACACCAGGCAGCTGTACCTGAACTACAACCGGCTCCTCTCGCTGCCCTCGTCCGTCTGCGATTTCTGCAACCTGGAGTTTCTGGACATCAGCAACAACGGACTGTCCGCCATCTGCGAGGGCATAACGCGGCTGAGCAGGCTGCGGACCCTCGTCGCCAAGAACAACCGCCTGGACGAGTTCTCGCTTCCCAAGGAGTTCGGCTCCCTGCGGCTGGAGGTGCTGAACTTCAGCGGGAACCGATTCGAGGAGATCCCGCTGCAGTGCACGAAGCTGCCGCGGCTGCAGTCGCTGTCGCTCGGCGGGAACAGACTGAAGAGCATACCTGTGGAGATAGAGAACCTGACCAGGTGGGTCAACACCCCGACCCGCCATGACTTAAAGGTCCAGGGTGTAAGATTTAGGAGGAAGGGATCTGTTGGCAGAAATGTAATATCAAAATGATCCTGGTGATGTTTTCACTAGTGTTCCATCTAAATTGTACAAATTGTTCACTGTAGAATGAGCCTTTATATTTAAATACTGTAAATTTAAGATCAGGAGGGCGTCCCCTCCACGGAGGACACCATGTCAAACATCTTTTTGAGTTTTTATGACAACTGAAGGCCCCCACAGGTTCTCCTACATGTTTGGAAGAGGAGGGTATTTAGCTGCAACATACAACTTCACCCCTAGATGTCACTAAATTCTACACACAGAACCTTTAACCCAACACCAATCTTTAAAAGTGAGAATAAGCGCGGAGACGGTGTTGGTTAGCCTAGCCGAGCGTCACTCTTCGTAGCTGGCTGCTTTGCCAACTTGCGAGTGTAGTTGAACTTAATCGATTGCTCCATGTGAACATGGACCGTGCAGACGAAGCAGCCAGTTCATTCTCCCACTCATTTTCATTTTCACCACATGATCTGATCAGTCACGTTTTCAAGTGTTGTTATGTGACCAGCTAGGATGACTAGCCTTTATCAACCACACTGATAATCAATTAATCCTTGATAAATCACACAAGCAATAATCCTCTCATTCTTGGGCATAAACATCTCAAGGACACTGTTGATTTTAAGCCACGTGAATAAACTGTAGTTGTTGCAGTTTATCACAACACAAGTTGCAATGCAACATTTGGCACATTTCAGAATCAAGAGGAAAGAAAGCCTTTGGTGTTGGGTGCATCAGAAACATAAGAAGCAAGTACTGTAGTTAGAGGAGAAACAAAGTACAAAATCAGTTAGTAAAAAAAGGTTTCATCATGTACAATATAAAAGTATTTGCAATATATTACAGATGCAGATAGAGTCACAAGGCATGAAAGCAGTTGTTCTGAACCTCCTCTCATTCAGTGTTATTTCCACAATCACTTGGGTCTCTAGCGAAATAGCAACACCAAAGTTCATCCTGACATTTAGAGAATCTTTGTTGCTGTCTTGGTTGCTGTTTGCCAGAGTCAGCTTTTATTATTTAGCTGTTGCTATCTTTGTGCTGCAGCTGCTTTGAATCTCTTTTTGTTTACTTGACTCACACATGTAAGTCAGAGGAGTTTAATAAAGCAAGAATCCTTCAAACTTTAAATAAAAATAGAGAATAGAGAGAAAAAGTGAAAAAATGTTTAGGTGATCAATTCATGCTACACTTCGTTCAGAATTACTTTTACGTATATTGCATTTACTACTATCACTTTTATTTCTGTCCCTGTCTTGCATGTTCATTTCCCGTCAGTTTATCCTGTAAACATCATGATTCATCATTGTGCATTCAGGATAATTGTGAACATGAGTTCCCGTAACTTTCCAGATTGTGGTTTGGAGACATGAACAAAGGCGTTGTTGTCACGAATGGCAGGAGTCCAGTAGTGTTGAGCAAAACATTTGAAAAATAGGTCCTTGTTATAGAAAAACATATTAAACGCAACATTGCAGCAAAGGAAGGCAAAGGCACTGCTGTTAGTACACATGGCCTCATAGGAAGGCAAAACAGTCCAACCAATCTGCTGTGAGAAGAGAGAACATAAGTCATGAGTAAATGTACCAGAGAACAACGGCACCAATTTCACAATATTAGCAGACAGAGGAAGGACCGTCATCGGTGTCTATCTTATCATTTCCTCAGTTAAACAGTAGCAAGTCACTGTGACCGGCGGCAGGCTAAAGGTCAAACATCCAACCCTCTTTATTTGATCACACACAAACACACCAGTGTAGCTTTTCACAGCAGTGACGTAAGAGTAAGAGGCAGAGGATGAAAGACGCCTCTGAACGTAGTCACATGGAGCCAGGTCTCATAAACCTTAGCTGCGTACACACACACACCCTGAACTTATCAAGATCGTACCTGGAGGATCGGTGAATGTCTAAAATAACCCGACATTTAAAGGAGGTTACCATGTCAGGTCTCCAGGACATGGTTTGTGTAAAGTCCACTTGAGTTTTCTCCTTCAATCTAGATGAATATTAAATATACTTTCAAAGACTCAAAAGGTCTCATCTTGAGGAGCTGCAAAACACAAGAAGGGAAGCTGAACACTCGTTATTTTTAGCAATGCATTTTACTGGTTCTAATATTTGCAGGGTTCACACAGTGCTGCTGTGGCAGCTGAGGCAGTAATACAGGGTCAGGTAGGGATAGCTGTAGCTACTTAAGTGAGACGTGGGAGAGGAGCTGGACAACAGCCAACGATCTGCTGTGGGTGAGGGAGAGATTAAATTCTGTAGATTGAGGTCTGGCTCTGACTTTGCTTCTCCAGCTCAATGTTTACATGCAAAGAATAATGGGAGTTACTGAGAAAAGCCAAACTTTGTCAGCTTAGAAAACTGTTGAGCAAGTTAAGATAAACTCAGTGCTGCTGAGTCCTAGTGTCGAATTTCAGGCTCTCTGATATATTGTCACATTTCTGCTGCAGGAGGTAGAACCTTATGAAAGAGAGATTCCAAAACTAACAACAATTTATGCTTAATTCAGGCCTAATATGATTAAAAATATGTCTTGACGTGTGGAGAGAAAAACACTCAACCTGGTGTTTTGTGTTATTTTTTCCTTTTCGGGGGTTCGGGGCTTTTGCTTACTTGCGAAAACACTTTGTATATTGTCCTCGATACGCCCCATAAACCAGTGTAATCTCTGGTGGCTGATTTGTGTCAGTGTGTCGGTGAGGACAGTGAGCAGACTCTGAATGTCTCCATTCCCGTCACAGAGGAGCTCGCTCAGTGCTCAGCCACCAAGGACAGCATAATGGCTTCCTGTCCAGCAGTCGCTGTGTCATCAGTTCCAGCAGGCAGATGGCCTGACAGCTTACTTTCGCTGACCAGCCATCCATCGCCCTCTCCCCGTCTCTCCGGTTCACTCGTTATCACCCTCCTGGGTGCTCCATACCTCCATTAACCTACCAGAGTCCTTTAGTTGTCTTAATAAAACAAACAGGAACTTTACAGTTTGGCCTTATATATAAATTAGATCTGGGTCTTTGCATGAATAATCTAGTTTGTCTCAACATTAATTTCACGTATTGTTTTTGCAAACTTAATACATAAGAACATAAATGTCATCGTAAATAGTCTCCTGGTGATTTGTTAAATCATTTGATTTTGTTGTAGCGTCTGTTCACCTCTGGATGTTGTCTTTGATGTTTTCTAAGTGTTAACACAGAAATGCAAACACAACCTTATGGATTATTTCGCAAGAAAAACCATGTGGCTTTAGCTCCCCCTTGTGGTGTTTACAGTTTTGGATTCGGGTCATTCTGCTTTGGGTTAGGGTTGGAACAAATTCCCCCCGCAGCATCTTAACCCCTTGAATTAGAAACACGTTTACCACTATAAGTACAAGCAGCAGATGTTGAAATGTTTTTATAATATATAAGAAATGAAAGGGTCACAGAGATGTCACAAATAAATGTTGAGTTGTCTTTCTTCCAGCTCTCACCATGCATTAAAATAAACTTAGTATAGTAAAGCAGTAGTAGAAGTAGAGTTAAAAAGAGTCAGTAAATTATTCATATTCACACATTTGTTTGGAGGAAAATAAACAGGCTAAACACTAGAAACTAAGTTCTTTAGATTGCCTGCACAGGACCCACAGCTCCACCACTTTTCTGAGTCGACTGTACAATCTAATATCATTCTCTATAACTGAGTGGGGGAAATTAGTCAACAAGCACAAATGTTTGAATAGTAAAAACCGAGACCAAAACCTAAACATCAATAATTGTATCTTCCAACAAATGGGTTTAATGCTGTGAAGAACTCCAACAGGACCCACTTTTCTGATTTACTGTGAAATAAAAGTTTAAAATGAGTTCAAGTTGGATCAGTTGAAACATGAAAAGTAGAAATGTCACATCAGACAAAAACGTCAGGGACTACTGATAAAAGAGCAAAACACTTAAATTCTATAGGAATTGTTTAGTAATTTTTAAACGCACACATTTAGATTTTTTTCTCTTTTTTTTCTGTCAGTCTGGAGCTGTTGTATCTGGGTGGAAACCTCATCACAGCCATTCCTCCTGAAGTGGCGAACCTGCCCTACCTCAGCTACCTGGTCCTGTGTGACAATCGCATCCAAAGTGTCCCCCCACAACTCACCAGGTAACTGCTGTCCTCCACCACTGTCCTTTCCAGTCCAGCCTGCCGTGTATCACATCCTTAGAGGATAAATTCATTAACTCTGTGTCTCGCTCCAGGCTCCACTCGCTGCGGTCTTTAAGTCTCCACAACAACTTGCTCACGTACCTGCCGAGGGAGATCCTCTGTCTGGTGCACCTGCATGAGCTCAGCCTTAGAGGCAACCCACTGGTGGTGCGCTTTGTCAAGGAGATGACCTACGACCCGCCGTCGCTGCTAGAATTGGCCGGACGTACAATCAAGAGCCGAAATATTCCCTACTACCCCTGTGACATGCCCTCAAATCTGCTGAGATACCTGGACCTGGCCAGCAAGTGTCCCAACCCTAAGTGTGCCGGTAAGAGTTTTATATATCGGAGAAAAATGACTGAGGAAAGCTTATTTTTGTTGTAATGTGCTTTTTGTGTGTTCTTCATTTTATGATCTGGTGACCCATCAGTTTAATCTTGTAGACTCTTGTTGGGGCCCTGATCATTTCCTGTATTTGTCTTTTCCTTTACTGTTTCCTACCTGAGGACTTATTGTATTAATTGTGTTATATAAAGTTATTCTATACATTTGTCGTATGTTCTGTAGCCACTTGAACCTGACTTGTTTTTTTCACTTTCTCCAGGCGTCTACTTTGATTCATGTGTGCGCCAGATCAAATTTGTGGACTTCTGTGGGAAGTACCGGCTGCCCCTCATGCACTACTTGTGCTCCCCAGAATGCACCTCTCCCTGCAGCTCCAACCCCCAAAGCGACGCAGACTCGGAAGACGAGAGCAGCGTGCCAGCGGACCGTCTTCAGAGAGTGCTTCTGGGATAGCACGACACGGAGGAACCTCTGACCCTTTGACAAGCCCAGACTCGTCAGTTTGTCACCGTGTTCATTTATACAGACACGAACTTGGCTCGTCAGACTTCGCTTTACAAAAACGCACATACAAATAAACACTAGTACACACTCAATACAGTGCATTCAGAAAGTAATCAGACTGAAAAAGTGAAAATAGTTTGGGGTGTTAACTTTAAATATCCTGAATGAGATTGTTTTGTCATAACCATTTCAGTCTCTTGGAATTGATGCACCCATAATAAGTCCTGGTTCCTCCAAACTTCTTCAACTAAGAACCGTGGAGGCCCCTGTGCTCTTGAGAACCTTCAACGCACATTTATTTGCAGCCTTTACCAAATTCTGTGCTTCGACACATTCTCTCTCTTAGCTCAGGAAGTTTATTCAACCTCATAGCTTGGCTTCGAGTCAGATATGCAACTGTGAGACTTTACATAAACCAGGGTGTGCCTTTCAAAATCCTGTCTCATCAGTTTAATCCACCACAGGTTGACTCCAATCAACATGTCAAAACATCTCAAAGATGAGAAATGAGACACCTGCACTAAATTTGAAATGTCAGACCATTAAAGCAGAAGGAAGCAACAGAAGTGAAAGGGTCTGAATACTTCCTGAATGTACTGTGCATTGAGTTTTACATAGAGCCACTAAAACATTTAGTGCTGTGGCCTTGGCAAAATGATTGGATAGAAATGAGGTCCCTGTCATCACATCACTCCACACATAATGAGTAAAGGAATCATTTCCCTTGAAGCTGTAAATCACACACACTCATGACTGTGTCAAAGTGCAGCTGTCGTGGTGGAACATAGGAGGGCAGTAAAGCTCTTGTTTGGACTGGGAACACTGAAGCTGCACCAGGATTCGTTTCCTTTCCAGGGAACCTTACTTTCTCCTTAATACAACACTTGGTGCTTTTTTTCCCTATCCATTAAGAGCATTAGTTTCTATTCTCTGAAAGTTTGGATATGAACAAAGTGGGTTTTGTTCAACTGCTGGAAACACGTAGTGAGCTTTAGTTTTTCATGCTTTGATCAAGTGAACTTCAAAGCTTCTCTGATAACTAAGAGGAAGAAAAAGTCTGGGATTTGTCTTGTACGTCAACAGAAACAATAACCAGTTTTACACCATGGTACTCTTAACTGATTGAGTACAACGTGTGAGATGACCTTATTTACGCTGTGTGTGGTGTAAATGGTCTCACATAATTTGAACAGATCAAGATTAAAACCTTTTTCTTTCCGTCAGCACAGTGCCCATTGCACACAACCTTGAATTTTTCTTTTTTGCCACGATGGCATTGTTGTTATAAATTAACCCAGAATAAGGGTTATATGTGTGTATGTGAAGGAATGCTTGTCCAGGCTTACTCGCAGGAAGTGGATGTGGGGGTGGACCAGGGGAACTTTTCACAGTGTTCGCTCAGAAACAATAGCTATTCAGCGAAACGCAGTGGCAGCCTTTAATGTTTATGTTCTGGGCTGTAGGTTTTCTCTCGGGCATAAACATTTACTGTAGACGTGAGCGAACGCAGCCTGTAGCCAGAAGCAGTTTTTATTTTTATTTTTGAGGCAGAAACTTCATTTCTAAACGGAGATGATGAAGTTTCTGTTCCTGGTTACATCACTGCTTCATCCTTCAGCTTGTGTGGGAGGCTGGGAGGTATTTTAGTGTCCATTAGCGAGAAGGAAACCCAGCAACGCCCCTCTTTGTTACAGAAGCATCTACACATGAGCATTTTAAGTGCCTTACTAATGGTGAGTTCTAACACAGCGAGACAAGAGTTTGAAGAAATGTGATCTATGCACCCTGAAATGTGACAAGTTTAACAAGTCCTTTTTATAAGTGATTTTTATACTCATCAGTAACCACGATAAAGAGAGAATAACCTTTTATAACAAAATGAACTCCTTTTATACAAATCCCTTTTCTAATGTTAAACATATTTAAATGTCTGCAGAAATAGATGGCACTTAAACAGAAGATATATAGATATATATATATTAATTGTATGTACTTTTACCCCATCGGATAATGTATGTAGACTGTACAGTATATATAACATTAATAAAGACTGATTTTAATGTCTTGAAATGCTCATTTTTTGTGATTTGATTATTGCCAAATGTATAGAGTTATTATTTAATGTGCAGTTTTTATGACGTTATAGATACATTGTGTTTGTGCTGGCGGAGAATTCGATGTGTGTTTACATGAAGCAGAAATTTTGTCATCTGAATGTGTCCAGGTTTCATTTGCATTTGAAGGTGACTTCATTCTCAAGGCTGAATTATACTGAAAGAAAGTTTCTCTGTAACTTAGAACCGATCTGCTAATCCTCTAAGATCACCTGCCAAGAGCCACCAGCCACTTTGTTTCTCCTCCCTCTTCTCTTTTCACACTTTCTGCTCCAATCTCATTCACTTTCTTTTCACCTTGCTGTTTCTGTTAAGGCCCGTCTGGCAACACTGATGCTTTTTGAGTTTCACATTTTTTGTTGTTTTGAATGGTCACAGTTTGGGTTCCTGAGTTTTTTACACCATAACTCTCTTGCTAAGATGTGCACACAGGACCCTTCCAGTGACAGCAGGCACCCAGGAAACACTCCAGCGTGCACATCGCGTGGACGTATAGATTGTGTAGATCACGTTGCACTTTGTGTGCACATGAGTATGCACGCACATCGCATGTTTTCTTGGTCTTGGCAAACTGTCACAGATGCAACCCGAGATGCAACTGATGATGAGCTTGTGGAAATGAATTGTGACTGGCAGATGCAGCTCTAGATGAGGATTCTCTGGGTCACAGAAAATAAAGTCTTGAATTTAGGCCGGGTAAATAATGTTGTTTTGTTGTTTTGTTGCCCATTCTGTATCTATGTGGTATATATCTGAGTTTTAATGCTAAACTTGTTTTTGGCTGCAGAATTTGAAATGGGACCCCAGTCACACATACAGTATCCGTGGTGATCAGTGAGTCAAACAGCAAAGTGCTGTCACATAAAGGTTTTTCTGATTCTCTAAGCCTCTTATCACCTCAATCAGAGACGTACTGACCGAAACAGTATAAGCAGCGTGAATTAACATGCATGCCAGACCTCACACATTACATGTTACGAATTTAAGCCCAAGCCTTTGCACAATGATAACAATCAAACTCCTACTTGGATAAAACCTGGTTGGAGGCCGCAGCACTGGAGGTGGTCTAGATGGAGGTGAAGGGGTGAGAGAGGGAAGAAAAGAAGGAACAGTTGAAAAAAATGAACCCACGGCTGTGTTACCATGTTTGATTGCTGTGGTGATCAACTTATTCTTAACCCCTTTTCAGTCCTTTGCATCTGCCATTCATCCTCTGTGATGGTAAATCATGACCCCATGTTATTCCCTTATTCAACAATCTCTAAATTTAAAATGTGTTTTGTTGCTTTTGTATATTTTTGCTTAGTAACAAACACACCGACTTTACCTCCTCTGCCGAAGCAAGAACATTTTAGCAATTGGCTGCTGAGTCAGGCGTCAGGTTAAGCCACATCACTGCAGGTCCACGCTTGAGGATCTTTTGAAATCACGAAAAGCAGAAAATAACTTCCATTTGTTTTGGAAAAATCACAGGCTTACTCTCAAATGATTAGCATCAATTGTTATTACAACCTCAATAAATCAACGATTGCATCAAATCTTAAGTGTCGCATGAACAACTTCTATATACATGAACTAAAACATGGGCTCATCCGACACATTATCTGTGTCTGGAAGATCCTTTTTGAAACTAAGAGGAGGCTGATGCTTGGCTCTGCCTTAATTATAGAAACACAATGACTGGAGCCGGCTGGGGAGCTTTGATCAAGACCATAATCCAGGTCCATGGCAACGCTGCAGGAGGACGTTCCAGAGAGGGATTTGTTTCTGAGAATGTTAGCGGGCAAACCTGGGCATGTCACAGGGGAGCGTCCAGGCTCTGGGGAGGACACGGTCGGGCTGGAGGAGGTCGGAGGTGCTTCACAGACAGAGAACAATACTTTTCTATCCACACACTCAACTGCTACAGAATGGAGAGACTCTCTGAAGTTATGAGTCACATAAGAGTCACTGTTATTTTGAATTTGCGAAACAATTAACTCTTCACTCTTTTACCTTTTTCTGTGCTTGTAAAAAAAAATGCATTCATACATCTGATTCATTTATAAATCAAAGGAATTCTCCCGACTTTAAAGCAGCACTACATCACTTTTACTGAGCAACATGTCCTCTGCAGCCATTAACGGTGGTTCATTAGGATGGTCTCCGAGTTCGAGCGATTGAGTCATTTTAAGTAAAGAAAGAACAATCAATCTCTGAGCTGGAGCTCTGACTGTGTCGTCTGAAACACAACCAAACAGTGGATATTACCCATGATTCCCAGCTTACTGAGCCAGAGTAGTCGCCACTGTAACAAATAAACCAAACTCTGTTTAGAATTCTTCATATTTTAAAAGTTTAAAGTTAAAAGTTTCTTGATACGCGTGAAGTGTTTTTAGCTGTTTGAACATTATGGCGTAATATTTTTAATAGTTGGGTTTCACAAATTTCCTATTTGTTCGTGTGGAAACAACTGCAAGGTGTGAAAATGTCTATGATTCAATTTCTACCGCCAGGTTGAGTAAGAGGTGCAGATGCTTCCATGTCAGGACACAGTGGAGCTTTATTTTGTTGACTTGCAAACAATATGGTCCAGAGAAAAGACAGTGACCATCATTGACACCTGTATTTGTTAATTATAACATGCTAATGTTACACTTGATCCCTGGTAACCTCAGAAGGACGACACGTGTCTCGTTTCGTCCAGACTCAGCTTCTCTTCTTTGACTCCTGCTTTTTGAGTATAAAATATTCACGCTCCTGGAAACCTGAGCGTGGCTGCGGTCCACCTGCTGCTGTGGCACCGTCTTGAACCTGATCTTGGGAGAAACCTGAGAGTGATCGCCACGCGTCAGGTGAAACAGAGACAGTGGCAGTGAATCAGTCCTTCAGAGGGACGACCACATAACTCATTTGATCTTAAACACACAAGAGGAAATGTCTTTTTCTTTTTCTGTAAAAGGTTTCTGAAATCTTTTGTTCTGAGATTAGCTCAGTATAGTTTATCCTCTCTGTTGATCTCATAGTGTGACTGTAATAGTCAGAGTTTCCATTGGCAAAAGATGAGGTCAGTTAAAAGAAACACTTTTGTAAGTAATTGCTTTTTATCTTAATTTAAAGGGGCCATAATATAAACATTTCACTTTTTAGAAAAATATAAATATCCATAGAGCTTGTTTTTTTAAATCCTTTTTGGTATTTTGACCAAAGTATATCACAAATGTTTTAGTAAGACCCCAAGAAACAAATGTGGTGTAAAATGTCTCCTTTAGTCGATCAAAATGTTTTGTGCTGCATCTTCTCATTAAGCATAGTCCAGAGGTCCAGAGGTTTCCTAATGGAAACAATAGGTGCAGATGATGTTAGTAATGAATACACATGCATCAGTGCTGGTTTCACCTGCTCGCCCTTATCCCCTATAAAACAATGCACAATTTGAAACTGAAACCCTCGGATGAAAATAAAACACCATGTTTCAGGAAAAAAAAGAGTTTATCAGCATGTGCACAAAAGTTTGTTTAGACCGGAAGACAAACTGCAGCAGCACAAAGTTTCTCACAACCAAGACACAAATGTGCTGAAGACAATTCTTAAAAAGCAAAGTTTTATAAAATGGAAACTGGGTGAATCTTAACCACATCCTGTGTGTGTGTGTGTGTGTGAATAAGGGGTGAATAAGGTATTTCCCCACGCACTGCTGTCAGTAATGGTGACACTCCCTCATCAGGAATGACCCGGTGTGTATGGCTCACACTGTAAATCTCTGTGATGTCTTAATAACACCTTCATGCTTCTTATTTCTGGCTGAACAGATGCAGCAGAAACTTCTCTGTGCTGCACTGAGGGAAACCACTGGATCATCAGCCTGCAGTTTCTGTCCCATGTCATGCTTTTTGAAAATAGAGATGATGTGTGTTTGTCTTTCCATGAACACAGGTGCTGTTATTCACTGTATTTATTTGCACTGTGGACACAGAGCGTGCCTCCCAGTCCCCCGGGGGCCCCTGCAACATGATGCACCCACACTGTCACAACCTTCCTGCGCTGCATGGTTCACATCACACCCTCATCTGTGGAGGTGAAAAACTTAGGAGGGAAAAAGAGGGAGAGCTCACACACTCACACACGCCCTCCCTCCTCGGACGCACACGCCTCCCTGCGCGCCCAGATGAAAACTCTGGCAGTCTGCTGCTGAGCATTTCCCTGAGTGACAGGACGGAAGGTTTGATGAACGGATCAGTGTGTGGGATTCACTCCAAGTCGACCGTGTCGCTATGGGAACTTTGCAGCTATGTTAGATAACACCCCATCTACTCATCTGTTTTCTACTCACATCAAAACCTGTCTGAGTTTTACTCGATGGAGTCTGGAGCGGGACGAGGCGACGGGATCCACCGCACGCTTTGGAAACACAGGTTTGCGTTTTAATTTTCTCCTTTAGGAGCTTTATCCTGTTTTCCTTTATGGTTGTTAAATAAGTCACGTTTAACACTTTCACTGTTCACCGACTGCGACTGGATGCAGCGCAGAGTAAACTCATGATCACCTCCATTTACGCAATTTTACGCATTGTTTCCACGATGACTTAAATGATCCATTGGTGCTTTAGAGGCTAAGAGCATACAAGACGTCTAATACTCTAACTATATTCGTAAATGTGATGTTAGTAAAGAACCTGAATCGCCATTTTTTCCATATTCCAATGAACAAAAGTCTATAGAATGTCCATCCATCTATCAATCTAGACAAATAGATAGATAGATAGATAGATAGAGATGGGTGGATGGACTTCCAGAGGGCAATTCTTCTTCTTCTTATTTATACATATGCATGTTTTTTCCACAAATTATTTTTATACATACACAGACACAGCATTTCTTGCACGGCTCCATTGTGCACCCATGCAGGCTCCTCACCTGAGATCAACCAGTCCATTTCTTCTTATGTAATTTTGACATGTGTGACCAGTCTATAGAACCAACCTGCAGCCTAATCTGGACGTGTGTCAAGCTTGACGTGAGATTTCAGGGTCAGTAAATTGCATTCTAACTCAGCTTAAAGAATAAATTTATAAACGGATTACTGAGTGAGGAGGAATGTTTCAATATTGGCCCCTGAATCGAGCTTTATATCTGGCAGCGGCTGCCTCTCTAATCTTAAAAGAGAAGCTCAGAGATTGACAGGACAATGAAATGCTTTAACTCTTTTTTGCTTCAAATTCTGTTAGAAGTAGTTCAATAAATAGATTTTTTTAAATAGATGCAGCAGGAGGACAAAGGGCCTTCGTTTACAGCTGAAAGCTTTGCTGCACGCATGTTAGGCCCGCCCTACATTTAAGTGAAACATCCAAGGCCACAGGTAGCTCAGGTATTACCTGCGGTTTAGGCTTCAGACACTCCTCGTGACTCTTCTGAACTGTCAAAACATGTCCATAAAACCAAACTCAGCCCAGGGACGGGCCCTGTGCTGGTTACTCACACAGTGACCCCTAGTAGATGTTGGCCGACCTTTCCTGACCTCTGCAGGGTTTCTCTCCTGAGCTGAGATCGATGGATGCAGGATTTTGAGAAACGGGCGGAAATGCCTCTCTCTGCCGGCTTTTCCTGCGGGAAGCAGCAGAACTGTGATCTAAATTAGGAAAGTGACGAAAGGACGTGCACAGGAACTCCAGACATTTCCCACACATGCTGCCCAGTGGTCCTCATTGTTCTGTTAACATCATTCGTTTTTGGAAATAGGTCACTCTGCACTAACTCAGACCTACAAGACATTTCAAATCAACTCTTTCCTCATTTCACTGTATTGTTTATTTCCTTATCATGTCCTAATGTGGTTTAGTGTTTTGAGTATAGATTTCCCCCACTTTGTTTAATCTAACTATAACAAAGCCCTCAGGTTATCTTAGTCACTCTACAGACAATGACGTAACACGAGTCCTAATAACACACTACTCACCTAAACACTCACCTGTCTGCCTAATTGCATCGATACAAGGGGTCGCACATTGTCTCAGCGACACGTACCTGAGTCACTGCAGCGTTTTCCCCAGAATCTGTGCTCTTTACAGCTCAGAGCATCAGGTGATACCACGGCACATCATTAAACCTTCAACATGTCAGTGCAGCGCGGCTATAGCCTGTGGCAAGAGTGACAAACACTTGTTTGGTTATTCTCTCCGAAGTTTATGAATTCAGTCTCAGATGCCGTAAATAACCAGGATGATTGAACATCATTTGTCCCTGAGTGAAACTGTAAATGATAGCTCTGCTGTATTTCACTTGTGTCTCTGCACAGATGTGTGTGACACAGCGGAGTGTGTGTGAGCAGGTGTTGGCTGCTTCACCTCTGTGGTGACGCAGTGCTTGTGGAAACTGAGGATAAGCGCAAACACACTCACAGGCTTCCTGTTACACAGGCCAAGTCTCGACAGCTTGTTTTGTGGTGGGAAAATCTTTTTAATTAATTAACTTCATTAATCTAGGTTAAATCTGATCTTAATTAGATTTTAATTTTCTTGTCCAGAGTTTATGTGTGCCCCTGTTTCCTTGTTGGTTTAATATAAATGCAGATCAAAACGACATTTATCCTCCCACTGTTTCCCCTCCTGTGACAGCACCACACTGTGGTGAGTACAAGCCCTACAGTCCAGTGACCTATAGATCAGGGAATAGAAGCAGCACTTCACATTAAATGTGTTTCCCTGGTGTCCAGTGTTTTCTGCTCTGCTGCTCAGTGGAGAATTATATGTTTTCTCTCCTCAGGATGTGTGTGTAAAAGTGGACAGACCGGGGCCAGTAATGGAGCCTGAGCTGAACTGCAGCTCCCGCTGTGATTCCCCTCTGTGCTTCATCCACACAGAAGTCAACAGGCAGGAGGGCCTCGACATTCTGCAGAGACTATGCAGCCTCAGCACGGTAATATACCTCCACCAAGGAGACTTTCACCCCTGTCCATTGGTTTGTTTCTTGGGTTGTCACAAGCATTATGCAAAAACTACTCAACCAATTCCCATAGAACTTTGTGTAATGGGACATGGGCCAAGGAAGAAGTCATTCAGTTTTGGTGCAGGTCTGGACAAAGGAGCAAATGCAGGGAATGTTTTCGCATTATTTAACATTGTGAGATATAGGGCATTTTGGTTTTTACATTTTCACCAGTTTTCCAGGGAATAGTCCATGTTAATTGATTTTAAAAATCAGGCATATTTAGGGGGATTATATCCACAAGTGTGCGCAATTTAGTGCAGCTTGACTTTTCCTGAATTTAAGGCGTCTGTTGGGCCTTTGCGGAGGAATTCTTATTCCTCTCTGTCTCCGATGATTTTGAGATTCAACAAAAGTAGGTCTATAAATATGGTGTGCACATGATGCCTGAGGTATGCAAATACCATGTACACACATCTGGCTGTGTATTTATATACTGTTTATGCACATGCACACTGCTGACATATGTCCAGGTTCATACATGTACACGTTTGCCGACATAGTTCCATAAAATGCAGCTTTGCTGACCAGCAAAATATTTCTGGACTGTCCAAAGGTTAAAGGATAAAAATAAATCCTGTCTGTTAGACATGCAGATATTTCAGTTAAATGCATATTATAGATATTATTTTGACTCTGTAACAAGTCAATCAAGACTTGCAAAGTTATACAGCATTTTTAAACTACTTAAAAAACTTTTTTGTGTCTACTTTTTGTATGTTGGTGAATTGTATCAAGATTAAGTATACAGACTCAAATCAAACACATCAAATGTGTTATTAATCTACTCAAGAGGTCAGTTCAGCTGTCGGGATCTGGAGAGGTTATTGGGAAGGACTATTGCAGCTATGTTTAGTATCGTCACAGTCACTGGTGCCTTTAAGAGAAGAGCGAGTGGCGATCAGCAACATGAGGCCGCGGCACAGGAGCGTGTAATGTGACTTTCCAAATAGAAACGAAAGCAGCAGAGGCGCCATGTCTGGGAACACAAACCCCTCTCTCCTCACTCCTACAACACACAGAAACTAGGTGAGTTATTTCTTTGATTTCATCCATACTTCATGATGATAATTTATGCATGTGTCAGTCTCAAAGTGTAGATGCCATCCTCACCCGAGGGGAAGGGAGCAGTGAGCTGTCTTTGCTTTGTTCTGGAAATGCATTATGAGACAAGATAATTGACTGTTTTATTTGGTTTTAATGTCTGAACAGTCCGTCTTTATTATTGTATGTTTTACCCCACTGACATGAAAAGTGGCGGCTTCAATGAAACATCCCCTGATGAAATTTAACACCGTACATTTGTTACTATTCGTGGAAGCAGGCTGCTCACTAGGAACAACTGTTTTCAACCCTTATAGTACAGTGCAAAGAAAAAAACATACAAGGAATGCAACCAATTCATTCTCTAAAATCGCACCTGCTCTTCTCTCTGGATGTGTTTCCAGATATGGCGTCTGCCGGCAGTGTGCTGTCTAAGGAGCAGCTCCTCTGCCCCATCTGTCTGGACCTGTTCGACCAGCCAGTCTCCACTCCCTGCGGGCACAACTTCTGCAGAGACTGTGTACAGGGATACTGGAAGAGCGCGAATGTGTCGCAGTGCCCCATGTGCAAGCAAAAGTTTTCCCGCAAGCCCGAGCTCAAAGTCAACACCTTTATTTCAGAGGTGGCCTCCCAGTTCAAGAAGTCGTTGGAGAAAAAAGACAAAAGTGAAGCCAGCACAGGGGATAGATATTTAGGAAATGTTTCATGTGACGTGTGCATTGGGAAAAGAGTCAAGGCTCAGAAATCCTGCCTGGACTGTTTGGCCTCCTTCTGTGAGACTCATCTGGAGCCTCATCATGTTCTAGGCACCTTCAAAAAACACCGGCTGGTCAATCCCACGATGGACATTCGAGACAGAGTGTGTGAGAAGCACGAGAAACTCCTGGAGCTGTTCTGCAGCACTGACCAGTCGTACGTGTGCCAGCTGTGCATCAAGAAAGACCACAAGGCTCATCACACGGTTCCTATAGCAGACGAGAGCAGAGACAAGAGAGCTCAGATTATGAAGGTAAACCAAGAGGTGGAAGAAAGGATCCACGGTCGACAGCAGAAAATCAGCAAAATGGACGAAACTGTCAGGCTCAGCAAAGGAAACACAGAGAGAGAGATTGAGGAGAGTTTGCAAGTCTTCACCAAACTGCTGCACATTATCCAGAGAGGACAAGCAGAGGTGGTGGACGTGATTGATGCAAAGCAGAGACAAGTGGAAAGCAGGGCTGGTGGACTCATCGCTGAGCTGGAGCAGGAGATCGATGAGCTGAGGCAAAGAAGCACAGAGCTGGATCAGCTCTCACACTCTGATGATGACTTTTACCTTCTCCAGAGCTTTCCAGCTTTTTCCGCACCACTAGCCACCAAAGACCGGTCCGACACTGACGTGGAGAGCACTGTATATGTGGGCACAGTGAGGAGAGCGGTCCGGAGAGTAGTGTGTCAGCTGGAGGAGACCGTCAAGACTGAGGTGAAGAAGCTGTGCGAGGGTGAGTTCCAGCGGGTTCAGCAGTTTGCTGTGGATGTGACTCTGGACGTGGACACGGCCCATCCCAAACTGGTGCTGTCTGAGAACAAGAAACAGGTCCATCACGGCGATGTGGCACTGAGCCTCCCTGACAACCCAGAGAGATTTTACCCCGGTGTTAGTGTTTTGGGGAAGCAGGGTTTCTCCTGTGGCAGGTTCTACTTCGAGGTCCAAGTGAAAGGGAAGACAGAGTGGGATATCGGAGTCGGGCTGGAGTCCGTCAACAGAAAAGGAGGGAGTATGCTCAACCCCGAAGGAGGCTACTGGACCTTGGGGATGAGAAGGGACAAGAGCTACTGGGCCCTCAGCAGCACTCCTGTGTGTGTTCCACTGGTCGAGAAGCCACAGAGAGTCGGGGTCTACGTGGATGTGGAGTGGGGGCAGGTTTCTTTTTACGATGCGGACTCTGCTTCCCATATTTACTCCTTCACCGGGTACTCCTTCAAAGAGAGACTCTTCCCCTACTTCAACCCGCGGCGTAATCATGGTGGTATTAACTCTGCGCCTCTGATTATCTCGCCTGTCAACGTCTAAAACTTGGCTCGAATTCTATCAGCTCTATTTGTATCAGTACTTCATCTGTGTTTGTTCATTTGTTTGTTTGTGAGCAGGATTGTGCAAAAACAACCAGACAGATCACCAGGAAATTGGTGGAAGGATGTGGCATGGGTCACGGTGGACCCATTGCATTTTGGTGCGGATCTGGATCAGGGGGCGGATTTATTTTTTTCTCTTTCTTAAAAGGGCATTTTCCAACATTCTCGTTGAATTCTCAGTGAATAATTCATGGATCTTGATGGAAAAAGTGGACTGCTGATAATGTGCAGATCCAAATAAAAATGTGGTGGAGGTATGTGCTCAGATTCAAGTTAGCAAATCTGTTGCATGAAGATTGTTTCTCTGTTGGATGTAATAAAGTTTTGGTCACTCAGATGCACCCTGTTCACTCTTTTCTGTTTCTTTTCCACCAAATTGAACGTTTTGAATACTTATGAACACTCGAATGATATGGACGTATAAAAACTAAATGTCCGATATATCAGTTGTGATTCTAAGAGCCCACATGTGCATGTGTGTGTGCACAGCTGGCCGTGGAGCTCCCGAGGCGCACGCTCTCCCCGGTGCTGAGTGCTGTGGTGTGGACGCTGCTCTCCTGTGGCATCCTGCTGGCCTTCTGCTTCCTCCTCTTCACGCTGCGCTTCAAAAACAACAGGTGCAGTGAAAACGGAAAAACACGGAGTATAAAAACTAAAAGAATTCATTAACTGAAGCTGAAATGTGGCATGTATCGTATCCCCAGGATAGTGAAGATGTCCAGTCCAAATCTGAACATCCTGACTCTGTTGGGGAGTCTCCTCACTTACAGCAGTGGCTTCTTATTTGCCGTGGATGAACGCACACACTGGCACGGTGGAGCATCTTCGGCTGTGCTCCAAGTAAGCGCTCACACCACATCAGCCATCGTGCTCCATCATATTGTTGAGTAAAAATCTCAGTCAGGTCTGCAGCGTTGTCTACTACTTACAGGCTCGACTGTGGACCCTGTGTGTCGGCAGTACCCTGGTGTTTGGTCCGATTCTGGGGAAGACGTGGAGACTGTACAGGGTTTTCACCCAGCGACTGCCCGACAAGAGAGTGGTAAGGCTTACTCTTGTTATACTCTTACTCCAACAACCTTTCAGAAGTTTTAACATAGATTTAAATAAAAACTAAAAAAGTTGTAATACTTCAGTTCAGATTAAAGCCATAACGTACAGGCAAAGAGATTTAAATCAATTCTGTCACATGTTTTTTATTATGCAAAGCTGGATCTACTTACACAGTGATTCTTTATTCAATGCATTACAATCAGATACTCATGGTATTTCATGTAAGTGTTGGGAAACACAGAGGTAGCTCTCGATAAAACGAGCTTGATTTTGATACGATCTCTATTCTGCGCTGATTTCTGTCTCAGATCATCCGAGACATCCAGCTGATGGGCATGGTGGCTTTGTTGATCCTGGTGGACCTGCTGCTTCTCACCTTCTGGAACCTCACAGACCCCATCAGGTGTTCACGATCTGTCGCAGCTGTTGTCAAGGTAGAATCGATTGTGATTTTGCGAAGAACTATAAAATACAAATGTAATCAGATTTAAAGTCACTACTAAAGCATGTTATTTTCTGATGTAGGTGGTGGACAGAGACGTTTCCTACACATTGTCACAGATGGACTCTTGCTCTTCTGTGTACTCAGATCTATGGGCTATCATTATTGCTGTTCAGAAGGTAAGTCATCTCTGTCTTAATCACATGCAATCATGAAATATTTGCTTCGAGTTATGATAACTTGATTTAACACGTCCTTTAATGCAAATTTACTTGGTTCAAACTTACAGATCACAAAAACTAATGACATGAACAAGTACAAAACCAATATAGAAACTCAAATCTCGCATTAAATGACTCTTATTTCTGAAATGACAGTGAAATTGAACCAGTGTAATTGTTTGAGGTTCTATGGCCAATTGAAAAGACTACAAACTTGAATGGAGTGCATACCTCCGCCAAGGCCAAACAGTCTCATTCTGAAAAATCCCCTTGTCTCCTCGGTCTTTCCTCAGGGCAGTCTCCTCCTCTATGGCACTTACCTGGCAGGGTTGACCAGCAATGTCAGCCACCCTCCAGTCAACCAGTCTCCCACCATCATAACCACCGTCACTCTGGTCACCCTCTCTTCAGCTGTGGTCGTCCCTGTGTCCGTCTTCTTGCACGCCTGGCCCAACCTGGTCTACAGCACTGTGGCCGGAGCCATCTTCATCTGCACACTAGCCACTAACTGTATGCTGTTTGTGCCTCAGGTCAGAGGAAAAATAACACAAGATGCACATATAAGATGCATGAGTCTGTTGAGGAAGAAAGAAACTTGATTCATTTAAAAAAGTGTCGTGGGAGGAATATTATTTTTTAGGGGCAACCATCAGACTACTCTGTCTGGGAACAGACAGTAGACAGTTAATCAGACAGACATTGGCAGATACCTGTATGACTTCCACTTCTTGCTCTGACATATCCGGTAAATTCTGTGAGTGACTTTGGTGACCGCACCGCCCTTTTTTAGAAATGCGTGTCTGATTGGCCGTGTCTATCAGAGGAGGGTGATTCACACAGAAAGTTTTTATGAGTCAAAATTACGTAGGCTGCTGCAAACGGATTTACGACTCTCCAAGTTTCTGCCAGTGGGTTTATCTGACATAAAAGGAATGCCTCTTCACTGGAGAGAGGAAGGAAATATCTGAACGATGAGTAAGACGCTCAAACACACCTGGTCAAACGGCCCCATGGCACATGGTCCCGGTAACGTTTAGTTTTGACGCGTGTATTTCTACACGTTACACCCCGAATAGGTCGCTATCGTTTAAGGAGCGGCAATAAAGGAGATTTTTACCACAGAAGTTCAGCTTTACTTTGGCTGAGCTCCACCTCACACAGTACACACTGAATCTATTACTTGTGCACATCAATTGAGTTAACACAACACATAATTTACACACTAACACCTGAAGCCCATCCTGACTGGGACCAACCCACAGTACTTAATTTTGATTTCGTAAACAACCAATAGAGCAATATAAAAAGAAAACACCCCACGGGTACCACATGTATTAATATCTTTTTCTTTCCCACTATTAGCTCACTTCCAAGAGCGTACAAGGCAGAAAAGGCCACCCCAACAAATAAAAATGAAAGAAAATAGTCCCAACCGCAAGTGGCCCAGTGTTGCTCTGAAGGGAAAACATTTAAAACCTTTTTTTAAAAACCTCAACTGCAACAATAACTTTAAAATACCAGGTATGACAATCCAGCACTGCCTTCAACCCTGCAGGTAAACAGACCTGAAGTACATGAGAGCAATAAATCTCACACAACATAAAACACTGAAAACAGTCTGCTCTGCATGCCAGAATGGAATGAGGTGTGCATCCAAACAACCAGCTCTGCCTCTATAACTCTTACTACTCCTCCTCCCTCCTCTCTTTTTTTATGTCGGTGCCGCCTGTCACATTTAGCTGTAAGTCAGTGTGATGATCTGTGCATTCTTTAACGCCTCCAAAACTTCTTACACAGCTGACCCAGTGGCGGCAGTTTGAGGAGGATCAGAACAACCCGGGTCAGATGGCGAAGTATTTCAGCAGCCCCAGTAAGAGCCAGCCGTCTGTGTACAGCCAGGATGAGATCTACTACCTGCTGGGCGAGAACAACTCCATGAAAAAGCTCCTCAGTGAGGTACTGGAGCAGTGGTTATCTGCTATTTAACAAGGAGGAATTAGAAGATATTAAACTGAATTTCTGTGAGCATGTTGGGGTTTAACAGTATTCCTAGTGGTGTCTGCCATTAGAAAGCATAGTTGGATTTATTGAAGCTTCGTCATACTAGTGGTTTTGCTAATCTGTCCTTCAGTCTCTCCACCACTTTGGTCCCACTCTCGAGGCCCATCGGCATCATCTGACATGCAGAATTTGTAAATAAAGATTACATTGGTCCAGACTGAAATATCAACAGCTACTAGGATTGCCATCAGAACTACTTACTTGTCCTCTGACACCCCCAGTGGGTCAAAATTTGAATTTTTCCAGTGAGTGTCCAAATGCAAAACTACATGCAAAATCAGCTGTACTCCATTGACCTTGGCTGTTCTTTATATTAAGTGCTATTCTTTCAGTAATAGCCATGAGGTCAACTGAAGGAAATGGTGGTAACAATAGAGTCAAAAATAAATTCCATTCATGTTTAATAATATTACGTTTAACACTTCTCACTTGGAACCTACCACGTTCAGGAAACTGCAAATCTTGTTAAGATGTGAACTTATTTTTTACGTCTAAAACTTTTTTTGTGTTTATAATTTGTAGAAAAACGCTGTGATTGACAGCCTCCAGGAGCAGGTGAGCAACGCCAAGGATAAACTATTGCGCCTCATGTCAGCCAGCCAGTCGTGTGAGGACATGGATTCGTCTGCCACCAACCTCAACTCCTCCTCCACTCAGACCACAGAGCTTCAGTCCGACGGCCCCTCTTCTTCTTCTCTACCTCAGAGAGATGCTAAATCTCAACTGTCACCTCCTCACCTCACTGCTGCTGCTGTGTCATCACCTATTTTTACATTGTCTTCAGAGCGTTCCGCTGCTCCAAACTCCTCAAACCCCAAGATGGCTTCCTCCCCGCTGCCTCGTGATGTGTATGCTGGTGAAAACCTATTGAGTGTGTCCCTCCCTGGCTCCACAGACAAAGACACGAGAACAGGGGAAGATCTCAAACAGCCCATGTCCCTCCCGTCCTCTGGATTACCTCGGACAGCAGAGGAGACCGTCAACTTTGTCACATCTCTACAGTACCGTAGAGGGTTAAACCCCTTTCAGGTTGAAACTTCTGGCCAAACATCTCAGCTGAGACCGACTGGCTTTGTGAGCAGTGAGCAGTTGCAGGAGATCCTCCAGGAGCTCAGCCTGGACGCGGTCCTGGAAGGCGCACTTCGATCTCCCAGTCAAAAAGCCAGGACCCCCTCTCAGTTACAATTCTCAGAGGACTCCGCATTCTCGCCGCTTTCCCTGCGGACACCACGCTCCCCTTATCCACCCGTTCTCTTCCGTTACCCCAGCATCTCCCCCTATGCGATGAGGAAACGTCGGCCACCATTCAACAATTCCAGGAGAGGTTTGACGCCTCCCTGCTTCTACACAGGATGTGGGAAGATAAAGGAAAAGTGTGAACGCCAACATCCAGGTGGGAACCATGATGAGGCCACTGTGGATGGGACCTTCCACAACAGCGACCTTGGGTTGCAGGAGGCGGAGGAGGAGGCAGAAAGCCATAAAGCGATAAGAAAGTGTCAGAGGGGAGTTTTGAAGTCTCACAGATGTTCAGGGTTGCGCTGCACAGAACACGATCACGCGGCTCCACCAGATGCAGAGGCGGGTGGTGATAATGAGCAGCACCACAGACACATTAGAGACTCCTGTGGGTACTGGGACTCGGACTCCAGCAGCTCAACAGACTACTGTTACTACCATCGTCCGTACTGTGACTCCTGCCTGCAGAGGGGCTCGCTCCTCTCCTCTGACAGCTCCTCGGACTCCTCGGACAGCGAGTACGAAGACTTTACCAGCCTGTACCGCTCCTCGCACCCTGTAGTGTTTAAAGAAGACCTCAAACCAACCTTTGTATGAGCAGGGGTTCATGCAAAGACTCTATTTAATCAAACATATGACATCTACTATGACAGATAATTTGAGTGAATATGTTCTGCCGTTTACTTTTTTAAATATTAATTATGGTATTATTTGTGTATTTCTGCTGTCACATGAAACCTTTACATTCCAAAACTGTGTAAGTCGGACATTTAGCTAAATTTAAGGTTTTCAAATGACGGTTATTAGTTATGTTATATTTATTGTAATATTTATTAGTGGTTGTTTTGGAGTACAGAATCATTTTCTGTCTGTTTTATTGTTTCACACTGGCAAATGTGATAATGAAAATGTTGCTCTGCCATTTTGTTGTTTGTATAAGTTTGAAATGCCCTGCGTTGTCTACACAACACAAAACTTGTCACATGCTTCCCATCCACAGCTGGTTCATGAGACACTGCACGCTGTCAGAGCAACTGGTGAAAACAGGTCACTGCTACCATTTTTGTACACTTATTTTCTGGATATCAGTATATTGTCTTTAATCATTCAGATCTTCAAATCATCATCGGTTTTCTCAGGCCACACCACTTCATATTCATGCTGCATCTTCTCCTGTTTTAATACGATATATAACAGGAAAGAAGATTAGTTCACCCCAAGGGCAATACTTCAATACTATATAGCACTATATTAAAAATGTACTGAATAAATAAGACATCAAAGCATGAAAGGACAAACAGAAAGTGTAAAAAATATTGGTGTGTGCAGGCCTTGATTAGTCTGCAGGGAGGACAAAAAGGAGACCCTCTTAATGTCAATCTTAATCATTACCAAAATACTTCCTAAAGACAGATGGAGTTGTTATCATATCTCTCCAGCACCCTCTCCCCATCTTATTTTAAATTTCTCTTTCCTGATGTACCCATCTCTGTATCTCCCTCTCACCCACTATCTCCTCTCTGCATTTGATTCTTTTCTACATCTAATAGGAAAATGTGAGTTCGCCTGAGGAGGTGCTGCTATGAAGGAAAAGCTGCTTCTTGCGTTACTTATGCTCAGCTGCCTGTTTTAAGGCGCTGTTTCTCTCTATTCTGCATGTGAACCATTGAGGGGCAGCCTGAGAGAAATTCCCTTTGATACAGAGCAGAGTATAAATAAACCACACAAAAGACTGACTACCAGCATCTTTCTGGAGAGGAAACGACTTTCCTGCCAAGCCCAGATAAGTGACCTGCATTCTGTCTGAGATCAGGGAAAAGTGGAGGAAATGTAGAATTGTTGAATAAAAATAGTTTCTCATACGTATATTTCTTTCTCCAAGCAAGACAACATCATTCCACACTTATTGCAAAAAGAGAAATAGATGGAGATTAGTTCCAATAGACTTCACCTCAAATGGATTAAGGTCATTAGAGACGCACAAAGGATTTCTAATAAGTCGTCCTTTGTACTGGGTCAAGTTGTAAGTGGTTTTATTTATAGTTAATAAATCATCTGCTAATGCTATGTTGTTCACTTAAAAGCCATTGATATGAAAATTTTTGGATGGGAACCAGATTGCGAAAATCTCTCTGGCTGATTTATGCAATGAGCCGTTTAGGATTAGGAGTAAAAGTCTAATATGAGCAACTTAGTAAGCATTTACTCATTGGTCGCCAACATTTATAACAGAGGCAGAAACAGTAAAAGCGACCCCCACCCCCCATTTTGCCAACTAAAATTGCTATTATCAACTGATATTGACCTAAAGCATGAGTACAGGTTCAACTTTCAAGGTCTAGCTTTATTTACACTGTGCCACAAATATAAAATGTACAAATATATCAAAAATGGTAGTTGGTAACTTAAATTGTGCAGAAGACCTTTACACGTAGAAGGGATATACACCATCTAGTCCTACATTATACAATCCTCACCCACCCCTCCATCGGCACAGTAGTGAGTATATTATGAGTGAATTTTATTTTTCTCCTGTAAATTATCCTTTTAAACGCTTCACCTCACCCTCCCCATCCAAACATGACAGAGAACCTGTGGTAGATTTCAGTTGTCATGAAAACTCAAAAGGTGTTTAGTTTGTCCAGTCTGGAGTACTGTAAAAAAGATGGCGGCCTCCGTAGAGAGGACCCAATTGATATTAATATAAATGGCCTTTTCTGTGGTAAAGAAAACTACAATTCATACAATTTAGATGAAACGAACTAATGAAAACATCATGAGGATTATTCTACATTAAATTTCTGCCAGTAGTTCCCGTTCACCTCAGTGTTACACACTGGACCTTTAAGGGCCGATGGATGAAGATGTAAAGGTCAGATTGAGCAGGTTAAAGAGCTGATGTGACTGGGCAGCCATGCACATACTCACGTGCAGGATCGTGTATTATTATGAGTTTAAAAGTGTTGAGGAGGGACTGGGGGGGAGGACTAGTGGGACTAACATAGCAACAGTGCTGCATGAGCACCGGTGCACTGTGACAGCTGGGCCCTTCTGAACTGACAGGACACTCCTGGAGCTCCCATTGGCCAAAAGAGTCATCAATCCCGGGTGTAGGCCCGCCCCTTGTCCCTGTCGCGGCACTGGGAAAAGGGCCTTTGAAGTCACGAGGGCGGTGCCAAGAAAATTATGCCATGTGGTGCTCAAGAGCGGCGTTCCTATTGGCTCAGGGAAACCCGGTCAACGCCCATTCGTGAAGGAGAGCGTCTCTGATTGGCTGAACTGGCCACCGCAGATCCGCCGTTTGCGCGTTCACAGTTTTTCCTATTCTCCGTCGCGGGTTACGTCAGCAGCGTGAACCTCCTCCCTCGACGGCGGAGCTATCCCTTTAGCCCCGTACGGAAGTAGCGTAGCATATGTGCGCGGCGACAAAGACAGCGAGACCGAAACCTATGGGGAAGGAATAAAAAAAGAAATCGGGTATCGTCTCACTGTTCGTCCCAAGACCGTCGTTTTCCGCGGAGCTCGCTGCCCCGGAGGCCACGGTGAGACGCCGAAATTAGACGGCGGCAGGGCGGGTTGTGGAGCTAGCGTGAAGCCGCCGAAGAAGACCGTGTCAACGGGCAGATTTTCCGTTGGAGCGTCTGTAGGCTAGCGTATATAGCGAGGGAGCCGCCATGGCAGTCGGATCATTGAGCCTCCACATCGGGATATGAAGAGGAGCCGCATGTGTCCCCGAGTCGTCACGTAAACGCCGCATTTATCCGCGATTTATCCGAACTCTGCCCTGGTTCATCTTTTATTCAGCCTCCAGAAGGAAAAATCGCAGTCGGGTTTTAACCGGGGGGCCACAGGGAGAGGCCAGATCCATGACTATTTCAGTCGGAGACGTGTCTGCTGAGGCCCGCTGAGAAAAACCTGGAATATAAGGAGGAAACGATGCTCTGATCGACGGCTGCTGGGACAGAACAGGGTCGTTTTATTTAGGAACCAGCGGGATAAAGGGGTCTCTTTCTGCCTGGCGTCCCTGTGAATTACTGTGACATTATTCATTTACTGGCAATCCTCCTTTGGATGAGAAGGGTCGGAGAATCGATCAGCCCCGCCGTTTAAGCAAGTCACAGTCTCCCGGAGGTCGAGAGAATCGTATCGGGGATTTGGATCATGTCGGGTCGGCCCAGGACCACATCCTTCGCGGAGAGCTGCAAACCAGTGCCGCAGCCCTCCGCTTTCGGCAGCATGAAAGTCAGCAGTAAGTACACCTCTGATTCAGGAGTAGCCTCCCCCTCTCTGCATGCACCAGGCCCCAGTGTGGGCTACATGTCCCCCCTCACTTAAATGTGTTAGCTTTAGCACCGCTGTATGTCTGTATCAGCGTCTGAGATTGGCCGGTGCTTAGCGGCGCACAGCTCGCCCACACCGCCTCGTCCCCGGGGGCCACACCGCCTGATCCGGGGTTAGCAGGCCGCGCCGGGCAGTGCCGTGGCCGGTAGGGAAGGTAGCACTGGCGCCGGCCTAGATCCCACAAAGCAAGCCGCTTCCTTCTCCCGCAGAATTTGGTCGTATCGGCGCACATTTCATCCTCGATCGGATCTCACGGCGGTGTTGCTTCACATCGCAGACCATATGCGTAATAAGGTTAAAGCGATAGGGCCGGTCTGTTACGCAACTGTCAGAGCGGAAGGTGCGCCCATAGTTGACTCGGGCGAAACTGATCCCGGAGAAGGGGCTGGTTCGCTGATCCTATGTGATGTGTGTCGAAATCAGACGGCTGTCAGGGAGTGTGACACAACCATACCCCGTGTCATGAAGCGGCACCGAGGCAAGAGGCCGGTTCTAGTCTGCCTGCAGAGATGGAGCCACGAGACCGCCCAGGCCTGTACCTGCTGAATAAGGGAGGCTGCCGGTGCTGGTCCATAGGCTCATCTGTTTAAATTTCTCCCCCTCATGTCATCTCTTTTTACCCCGTTACACTAATTCACGTGACAGTTTCATGTTTGATATCCAAAAGTCTCCAATTCTCAATTTACTGCATTTTATCTCAGGGTGTGTGTGGACGTCATAGACTGCAGATGTGTAAGTTCACATCAGGGCTATATATCATATCGTATCATATTGGCTGCATATGGCCCCAAATAAATCTGGATTACAGTTTTCATATCAACAATATCAATAATTATCACGTTGAATGTCACATCATTATATCTTCTACGTTTAAAACTTGATTTTTGCTCCAGAGTGAAGTTTGAGGTTTTAGACTCTTCTTTATGATCAGAGAATGACATGTAACAAATCATTTTATATTTTACAAATCCGAGATAGATCAATTGTGTGTTGCACTTCCTGATTCTGCTTACACAATGCACAATCAATATATGTTACTATTTATTGAACCTACATGATATTGCTATCGATCAAAATCATATTGTGATAGTTGGTGATATTGTTTTATTGTTCAGCCCCAATTCAAGGTATTAAAATCTAGTGGCTTATATATATATATTATGAGATTTAGAAGTTTATCTTATAATAATGGTTTAATGCTCGTCTTGAAGTTTACAATGGTGTGGCACAAATGTGAGTGTATTAGCCAGTTCTAAGTTGAATGAATCATTCATCTGTTAAATCAACATTATTAATGACTAATGACTGTTCTGTCTGGACACATCTACCTAGCCACGCCATTTCTTATCTTGCAATGCAGTCACATCTTGGGTGTGAGTTCGGAAAAAGTGAGGCTGCCATGATGTGTGTTAGTGGGGTGAGGCCCGAGGCTGAGGCTCTCCTCTGGGCCTTGGCACTGAAAACCACTTAGCGGACCAACACACGCGCACACACACACACACACACACACACACAGAGAGAAGCACTTCCATCCCTCACCCAATATTTCTCCTGCCCCAGATATGGGTGTTGAAGCTTTGGGGGATCATTCATGGGGATGTTATAAAATGCTGTTCCCTTTGCTAAGTGTTGTGCTGGTCAGTAAGTTGGCTGAACTGAGAGCTGAGAGTCTTTGGCCTAATTATTGTGCAGATATAAGCTACTGAATTAGCTCCAGAATGCGAGACTGACCTTGTGGTCTTAACATTGCACAAGTTTTACACCGGACATTTTGCTTTAGTTTCTTAACCTGAAAATAGTTTTTCTCCTCTGGTAAGTCAGGAGAAAAGTCTGCTCATTTCAACTCTTATTTAGTTTGCTCGCTATTGACATCATGAAGATTGATTGTGTTCAAGTAATATTAGTAAGTTACTGACTGGGTTCCAAGTTGTTTCTAGCATTTATCTTCTTTTGGTCTTCACAGTTACACAGGTCAAATGGATATCTAATTAGACAATTTGTGTCATTCATGCCTGTGAAGTTGCCAATAAATCAACCAGAAAAAGACTCTAATTATATACTTTATTGGTAAAAAGAATAGAACAAGGACACCAGAACAACTTTGCCTGGTAAACAATTGATTGGTTTGAATGAAAACTAGCCAAACTGACCCTAACCCTGGGGCGTCCACACCAGAGTTTTGAAACACTTTGGAAATGCTGTTGGTCCCCAGAGATGTTTGGATACGATGATGTAGTCTCTCACATTAGCTTCCTAATTCCTAATTTTTTTTATCAGCTACAACTCGACTACTGAACCCAAAACGATGCTCACACTTATTTTCACCAGCAGTTTTAAAGCGCAGGTTTAAAACAGAAAACCTATTAGTATGGATGTAGCCACAGAGTGAAGTGGTTGAGTAACACATTTAAACAGAATCTATTTCAATCGTGGCAAGGACTGGGGCAAAAGGCACTTGTTGAAATAATCAGACTACTCCTGTTTGTTGTCCAGCTGATGAACATGATCCAGGAATTGGTTT